TCCTGCCGAGGGTTCGGATCCCATGTGGAGACCAGTTCCCGCTCACTGGCTGAGCGCAGTGTGGACGCAACACCGAGGGTTGCGATCCCGTTGCCAGTCCCCGGTACGGGCGTGACACCAAGGGTTGTGATCCCATTACAGGTCAGTAAAAAAGACAAAAAGGGAAAAAAAAAAGAAAAAAAGAAGAAAAATTGACCCGTAGTGCCACCTCCCAAAGAAATCTACTGTCAACATCTTGGTGTGAACCCTTTTTCTTAGTTGAAATACACACCTGTCTTTAAAGAAAAATGGAATCATAACATACATAATATTTTAACATGTTTCTCTTTTAGTATAGTCTTTTTCCATGCTACTAATATTCTTTCTTAATATTGCTCACATCCGTGTAGGATTTCACTGTATGAACATACCCTAGTTTATCTATGTAGTGGTTAAGAGCATAGACTCTGAAGACAGACTGCTGGGGTTCAAACCCCAGATCTTCCAAGATTTACTGGCTGTGAAAACACGGGAAACTGAGTAAACCTTCTGTGCTTTAGTTTTCTCACCTGTCAAATGGGGATAATAGTAGTACCCTCATAGGGGAAATGACTTTTACATGTGACTCTGATGAGCAAATGACTTTATATATGTGAGGCACTTAGAATAATCTCTCAATGTTCTTATTTACCAACATTTTTGTTGAATATTAAGTTTGCTTCCAGGTTTCTCATTCTGACAAATACACTGTAATTAACACATGCTTAGTGCACTCTTAATTGCTTCCAAAGAAAATATTTGTGCTCACATTGAGGAATCTTTTCCAGAGTGAATCATGCACTCACTGTACATTGACTGTCCATATGTACAAAGCATTAAGTTATACACAAAGAAGAATGAACATAGTTCTCTTCCTTGCGACATTTAAAATGTAGTGGGGGAATGGGGAGAAAGGGCACATGCACATACAAGTACAATGCTATGTAGAAAGAGTAGCACAAATGAAGAATGTGGGAGAGGAGCAGAGAAGAGAGAGTACCGTTAGCTAGAGGATCAAACCATTCAATGAAAGAGAGACAGACGCCCTCCTCTGCAACCACCACCTTCAAAATCCCCAAATCAGAATTCAGAATGGTTTCTGTTTGTCACATTGAGAATGTGTTACCTTGAAAGAGAGCGCCCGGGGCTGTATTCCCAGGTTAGAAGCTGGGATATGGGCATACATTGAAAGACCAAATATCTAGGAAATACGTTTTTCTGGAAAGGAAAGAACACATTTCACAGCTGAAAAGAGAAGTGAAAAATGAAACTAAAGAAGCATGAAGGTAATATTTACTTGCTAGATTTATACAGTGCCTACCTTTGGAAAAGCAGGGCTATAAATCCAGCATGTGACCTCCTAACACGCATATACTCTGCCCTCAATTACCTGGCTCTTTGTGAATTATCTGCAGCACATTTTGCAATCATTTTGCTGTCATTTTAAACTGTTCATCTACCCCACAGCCCCACTCCCACCAGCTCACCCTCAGTCATCCCCTCAGAATAGAGAGTGGGATAATGGTATCGGTGTGAGATTGGGTCAGCTACTCCTGGTCTAAGTCCAGCCTCCACAGTTTACCAGCTGGGAGGCTTGGGACATGTAATTTAAGTCTCTAAGTTTCAGTTTCCACATCTGTAAAATGGAGACAATAATAACAATTACACCCACCTTATAGGGTTACAATGAGAATTAAGTGAGATAATGCCTGTAAAACACCTATCACAGTACCTGGTACAGAGGAACTGATAGTGTTAGCTCTTGTTTATATTCCTGTATTATAGTGTGTAAAGAGGATGCAAACCAATTTTACTATTGTTTTAAACAAATAATCAGCTATATTGGGCTCTGAACACAGGCCAGTAATGCATCCTAAAGTAAATGGGAAATATCTGTATTTGTGTCACTTCTGATTTTCTCTATTAGGTTGAAAGTTGAGGGGCTGGCCCAGTGGTGCACTGCTACAGTGCGCCACTTGGGAGCGCGGTAGCGCTCCCGCCAAGGGTTCGGATCCCACATACAGACCGGTTCCCGCTCACTGGCTGAGCGAGGTGCGGGCGCGATGCCGAGGGTTGCGATCCCGTTGCCGGTCCCGGTCCGGTAAGGGCGCGACACTGAGGGTTGCGATCAGTTGCCGGACGCGAAAAAAGACAAAAAGGAAAAAAAAATAAAAAGAAAGTTGAGTCTGAACACACCACAGTTGCAAAGACGCTAGATTTCTCTTGTAACCAACAAAATCTAGACTGCTATTTACATCAGAATGAGGATGACTGATAAAGCTTAATACCTCTCCTGGGGGCACTGCATTTTAAACTGGGGCCCAAACCATTGGACAAAGGAATGAAGCAGGAGTGGTGAGGTTTCAGGTATCAACCAGGGGACAGAGGGAGGCATTTTGATACAGTCAATTGCAGCACTCCCGAAACCATTTCAAGCACACGTTCATTCATTCATTTATTCAACACATACTCATATTTATTAGGTACTTAAGACCTGCCAGTCATTGCTCCATGCATCTGTGAACAAAATGGACAAGAGGTTTGCCTTCATGGGGTTTACATTTCAGTGGGGAATACAGACAAAACAATAAAGTTAACGAACAAGAAAACTATGTAGTATGTTAGCTAGGGATTAAATAGCATGTAAAAAGTAGAGTAAGGGGAGATTGGGAGTGTTGGTAGGGTTGGCCAGGTCACAGTAGTAAATCAGGGGGAGGTCAGGGTTAGCTTCACTGAGGTGGGATTAAAGTCTTGAAGGAGGCGAGGGTTGCCAAGTGGAAGTCTTAGAAGAGTGTCCAAGGCAGTGGGGACAGCTAGAGCAGCGGGCTCAAAGTGTGCATGTGCATGTGCGTGCGGGTGTGTGTGATCATTTCTGGAGTGCTTGGGGAATAGCAAGGAGGCTAGTGTAGCTGAGCAAGGAGGGATGACACAGAGGGATGACAAAGAGAAGATGGACATAACCATTCCCGAAGGTCTTCATAGATCACCGTAAGGACCTTGGCTTTTACAGTCACCTGGGGAGCCACTGGAGGGTTTCGAGCAGAGGAGTGCTGTGATGTGACATTTAAATAGATTACTCTGACTGTTGTACTGAGAATATATCAAAGAGGGAGGAGGAAGGGTGGCCAACTACTGCAGAAACCCAGGTGAAGGCTGTTGGCTCAGCTCTGGATGATGGCAGTGGAGGAACTGAGAAGTGGTCAGATTCTGGATTTACCTGAAGGTAGAGCCAACAGGACTTCCCGGTGGATGAGATGTGGGATGAGGAGAGAAGGGAGTCAAGAATGACTCCAGGTTCTTGACCTGATCAACTGGAAGACTAGGTTGCCATCAACTGATAAGGGAAAGGCTGTGTGAGGGGCAGGTTTTGCAGAGATCAGGAATTCAGCGGTTGGATATACTAGGTTTGAGATGTCTGTCTATTAAAACACCCAAGTGGAGACGTCAGGCTGGCTGATGGAAGAGTCTGGGCTGGAGATACACATTTGATATAGACAGTTGCTTAAAGCCATGCGAATGGATAGGGTCCCCCAGGAAATGAGAGTGGACGGGGAGGTGAGCAGTTCTAAGGGCAGGTAGGTAGAGGTTTTCCCAAGGGGGAGTTGTAGGCCCCTCAGAGAGGGCTCACGAAGAAGCCTACTGTAGGGGAGCCTGGGCCTGCAGGGGGTGCCGTGGAACTTGCAGTGATTGCAGTGAGTGATGGAGAGGAGGGTTTGCTTCTCCGGGAAGAAGAGGTGCTTGATAAGATTCCCGACGGAGTGGCAGAAATAATTAAGAGAAGTAGGTAAGGACATCCTAGTAGAACACGTGTTCGGCTTCATTAGCAAACCTGGGTCTACTGATCTGCTCAGACATCTGGGCACCGCTGCCTGGCCTATGAGGCTCCGCCTCTCGGGCTCTTTCTCTCTCCCCGTCCCCCTCCCATCCTCGCCTCTGTTTGTCACTTCTACAACCGCTGATTATAATTGATCACACAGAATCACGGAATCACGGCTCATTTTGCCGTTTTGTTCAGTGGCCCGATCTGAAAAGAGACTCTGCTAGTTGGGCAGATGGTACTCCCCCTCCTCGGAAGGCCGCTCACCGAGGCCTTCCCGGCGTCGCGGGCCCCCAGGGACGGCCGCCGCGGCGGGCCAGGGCGGGGGGCTGCAGGCC